TTAATATGATGGTTTCACCGAAATTTCGATGTTGCTTGAGTCGGACTTAGTCACTTTTTTGTTTGGAGGATCGTTTGTTCTTCACTCTTTTTATATTACCTACAGGGAGTGTGGTACTGGCTTTTCTACATAATTCGTACATTCAAAAGTAATAAGTCATCAACACTACTACTCCCTAATCACTATGAGTCTATGATAGAAAATAAACAATTTTGGCTTAACATTTCTTGCATACATAATACCAAAGTCAATGGTACCTTGTATGTATATAAGGATCCTCTTTGTAGCTCCATAGTAAATGTGAGTAGGCTTGTGCATAAATCTGGACAACAAGCTTGCAACATACATGATATCGAGTCTAGTCGTTGTCAAATACAACAAACTCCCTGAACTCTATACACAAATCCTTCAGCATCACCACTACCATCTTCTTTTTGAAAATTTCATTCGCAACTATAGTGAAATACTTCATCACATAAAAATAGATTTGGCTTACCTCTGTCAAGTGTTCTAGTATATCTTTTCTTAAAACTTGATTATATCGCAATGGTGTTATGTTTCTTTGCTTTGGCCATTAGAGGGTAATTGCCCTCACTTGATCCCTTCGCGGCGGTGTTATTATTCATAATGATCATCATAATTTATATAAATCTATATATAAAGCTAGAGGCTCAATTTGGTATCACCGGCTTCGACAAAAAGAATTGTACCAAACTGCCCCTCAACCAAAAATATTCAAAACTTGAGCAAAATAATATATCAAATCATGCAAGGGTAAGTTGGTAATTTGGTCATCATAAAATATAATATAAATATAAATGGGGAGAGAGAAAATAATAAAAAAAATGAAAAGGAAGAGAAAAAAATAAACAAATGACAAAGTTGATGATGGCCATGTGATGGGGAAGAAAAATATAATAAAAAATAAGAAAAATTATGAATGTTGTGTTCAAAACATATTAAGAGCGCATGTAGCGTTGGTGATAAAAAAAGAAAATAACGAAATAAAAAAAAATATTGAAGCAATTCACGCATATAAATACATTTAAATGTCTAAGTCGCACGCTGTGATTCAAAAAATGTTTTTTGCACGCAGTTGTTTATTAAATATTATTTCTCAATTTTTAAACACTTGAGAGGTGTGTAGTGTCAGTTATAAAAAAAAAAATAATAATCTCTCGCACGCACATAATAATGTGATTCAATTAGTTGTCAAATGATAATTTTTTTTAACCAACGATGTTATATACACTAAGGGGAGGGAGTGAGCTTAACCTCGCAATGGGCTAGCTGTGACAGCCCGTCCCGGATTATTCATATCGCAGGTGTGAAATGACGATTTTGCTCCTAGTGGTTATGTTTCGTTGTGTGGTTGTTTTGGGGTTTTGGTTGGCTGCATCTGGACCACACACACACACCCACACTCTCATCCTCATCACCTTCCCTATCCCGTGTCTCTCTTTCTCTTTCCCTTCTTCTTCTTCGTACGGACAAGACCAAAAACCTTCGAAAATGTTGCAGATCGAGGTTGAAAACTATACCTTTGTGTTCGTGAGGTTTATACGAGTTCAACCATACCCATTTTAGGTAGGAAATCCTTCGATTTCATGTCGAACCATGGAACCCTGATTTTGGTCACTGTTCATGCACACGTGAAATGTTGTTTTTCAGGGAATTTGAAGCTTGTAAGAAGCTTAGTGAGGTCATTAGGAAGCTCGGGGTGGTTCGTTGGAAGGTTTTGGACGTCGGGATCATGAGTTGCAGGTTTGGCCGGATTTTGTGAAGTTTCTCCGGCGAGATTCCGTGAATTTCAGGGCTTGAAAGTGGTAAGGTTTTGTTCTACTTGTTGTAAGCTTCATTTTGGTACCAATTTCATGAAATGTGGTTGAAAAACAAGTGAGAAACGAAGGTTTGAAGTTTTTCCGGTTTTCCGGCGACGGCAACAGCATTGGAGGTGTGCCGGAAAAGAAGACGGAATATTCCGTCAGTTTGGATGGAATATTCCTAACGGCGTTAGGTTAACTTTAACGAAATATTCCTAACGACGTTAACTGACGCCGTCAACGTGCCTAGCACGTGGCCGCGCGTGGGAAGTTAGAAAATTATTTTAAAAATATGGGATGTTAGTGAGGTTGAGTAGATCACGTTGGTGTATTCATACATCCCATTTGAGCATTGTATGAGAAGTTATTGCCTAATTTTGGTTATGTGCTTTAAATTAACGTTTTTATAGTTGTTTCACATATAGGTGAGACCTATCCCGAGGACGAACGCAGTCACTCGAGGCAAGGGGGTTACGACCCTTCTACATACCAGTGAGTAGGCTTTTGGTTTTCCGTATATACCTATATATTATGGTTTTTCCTAGAAAATGAAATGGAATGTTTATATGTTTTAAATGCCATGCATTGCGTTTGCCTATTTATTTATGCATTAGTAGTTGTATATATGTATGTTTGGTGCTGCGGACATGCAGATAAGTGACAGGTAAGTTATGGTTGATGATGATTTGTAGTTATGTGAGATACGTAGTGAGCTCATAACCTGCACCCCCGATGTTAGTGCTCCCGCCCAGAGTAAGACACAGTCATTCACGTGATGTTCACCTCCCGCACCACACGCTCATCTTGGATCCAAGTTAGGTGCACAGTCATGTCGTACAGACCACTATAAGTGGTTCCAACTCGTAGGTGACCCGCGATTATTCGCCCAGTCTTCACGTGATCGTAGCACTTGAGCGTATTTATTTACACCCAATCTTGTCGTACAAACCACTTTAGATGGTTCCGACTCATATGCAGGTACAATTAGTGAGTTGGGGATTTGAGCTCTAGATTTAGCCGTACAGGTCACGTTAGGTGACTCCGGCTGACATGTTATTTGCATTGTTTGACATTACCTGGGTTACTTACATTTTATGTGGAAGCATTCAACATAGCATATTTCTGAGCATGTTTTCTATATGTGTATATTCTATTTTCTGGGAAACTATACAGGTTTTACGGCGAGGGGTTAGAACTTTTGATAATGAAATGATTTTGAAAAGTTTTGTTTTTGCCCACTCACACTTTCTGTTTTGCGCCCCTCCAGGTTCTAATTTGGATTGCTCTTTTGGTGGCTCACAAGGAATTCACGGTATATCTAACAGATTATCACCAGCGTAGGACCCCCTCTAGGTGTGTTTAGTTAGTATTTATTCCCCTGGACTGCACTAGGTTTTCTGTGCTTTGAATATTGTTTTTCACACTTACGCTTGCACATGTATGTTAACTACCCTGTGTGTAGTTTGGCTTTTATTTGTTCGTACTTTTATTATTATTCTTAGCTTCCGCACTGTGCACATGGTTACGTCACTCTCACGTGATGGCCAGCATGCCCTGATTTCGGTCGGGGTGTGTCACTATCAATCAGTTGTTTATTAAATATTATTTTTTCTAATCTTAATGTAAATTCAATAAGATGTAGATGAAAATTGAAAGACCGTTTTTATTAATATGTATTCAGCTAATTTGATTAGTTAAAAGACTGCTTTTATTAAATGTATTTATTATTCATTTCCATCTACATTAATAATTACATTTACAACATGTAAATCGCACGTCGCACGCCGTGATTCAAAAAATATTTTCTGCACACACATGAGCGCGTGCATGAAGGCTAGTATCTCTAAATGGAGATGAAAGCCCCGCCAATGACATGATGATGATTGCCGGTAACACCAACCCCGCCATCATAAACAGGCTTCCAAAACTTTGCATGTTGTCGGTCGAGGTGGTCAGATATTCTGGTTGTGATTTGAGGAATTATCTTCTGGTAAATATTGGGCCAATATATATGTTTGAATCGGTTTGAATTTCCTTATTGATCATTTAGCAAATTAAGGATAACAGTTTCTTGATTCTGCCTTAATTATTATTGGTACAGTTATGGTTGTAGGGATTTCAGTTATATGACCATGACATTTAATATATACTTGTTCATCTAGTGTTTTTTCCTTTAACATTCATGTTTTTTGTTTTAATGTTAAATTTATGTTTAAAAGATATTGATATAAACCAAGAGGAAAGCTAGCTACCTTCTCAACTTATTAATGGAATACACATGTCAAACGATGAGTGGGAAATGTAGATAAGGAAAGGCAAATGGAAAAAATAGCTAGCATTCCTCCAGAACCAAAGGGCTAACTACATTTACACTCTTCATGGTTGATATAACTTTCAAAATGGGTCACCATGTTCTAATTTTCTCGCATTGCACCCACAGGCTATGAATTGTATCCATTTACATCTTTTGTCTCTTTGAATTTCTAATCATCTATTTGTTGAGTTTTTTTTGTCTATGTGGTGCAAACGTGACTTACACGTTAGACCGTATAAAGGACTCAAGCTCACGACGTCACCAAAGTAATGAATTATCTTACAATTGATTAGATCAAAAGCATAAATTGATACAATTTTAACACCTTAGTTTGAATATGAAAAATTGAAACTTTATGGCTCATTTTGAAAAGCTTATTTATTCTATGGCCCTAGGAGCTTGACTTTGATCTCACTTTTGCTCTGTGAAACTCAAAAGTTGCAACTTTACTCCAATAAACTCGATTTTTAACCAACAAAAAAATTTATTATATAGTTTATTTACTCCATGTTTTACAGTTTTAGACGGAATAAACAGAAGTAGGACAAAGTGTAACGAATATTGAGTTTCAAGAAGTAAAAGAATGACTTTTGAGTTTCAGTGAACAAAGTAGAACCACAATCGAGTGGGGAGCATAACTAAAATTAAGCCTTTTAAAAATCACACCAAAGCTAAATCCTAAAAAGCATAAAATGTGTAAACCCTAAACAGGTCAACGAATAAGAATTATTTGAAATCCAGTGACATTTTTATCTGAACTCATCGACCACCATTTTGTTGTAGATAATGTATGTGGGTTGCTTCATTATTTATTTCAATCGACGTTGCATTATACAACCACAAAACCAGTTAAAAGATTATGATTCCCTGAATCAAAAGTTGATTAACCCATGGAATAATATGAGAACGAGAACAAGAACGAGCACAACCCTACCGTAACAAGTGAACTTTTACAATGAGAGACCTTCAGGATTCTTCATCAACATAAATCTCCGAATCCCAAAACTTTTCAAGATTATGCATGCTACGGTGACAGGACAACAAACAACATTAAACCTCCGGCATATCTTTACTCTGTACATTTGTGAAAGGGAACAAGCGAGAAAAAAATTTCTCTACCCAATCTGCACTGTGGACTAAAACAAGGCATCTAGCTCGCTTGACTCTTGCAATCTTCTTCGGAAATGTTAAACAAGACTTTCGGAAGTGAGGGAAGTGAGGCAATCCGAGGCAGATGAAACAGCAATTCCGCAAAGGAGTCTTTTCTTGACATTCCTGGTGCCTTCTTCCTGTTGGAAACACCGTCTTCAGGGTCCTTGATAACAGCTCCAGATTTATTATCAGGAGTGTGATTGGGTTGAACATCCCTTCCACTACCTGATCCTTCAACGTAACTATCACCATCAACCTGTGTATGAGCTGCAGCAGGGTCCTTCTGCAGAAGGCAACAAAGAGAATTGACCCTTGACATGAGCGATTTCTCATCTGAAGCTGTTGTAAATTGAGTGTCGCTCAGCAGGTATTGTGCAATGTCCTCTAGCATGTACTGGTATTCTGACTGCTGATCAGCAGATGGCGGATTTCCAGAAGTCATTTGTTCTGAAATACAGTTTCCAATGTGACTCATAAGATCACTCATCGACATTGATGAGTGAAGCCCAGGGACTTTTATTTGCTCCCAATTTCTGTCCTCTCTGGAATTAACAGCTTCTGAACTGCCATTTCCTTCCATTGCACGAGCATCCATAACTAATAGGATAGGTCAATTAGTGATTTAGTAATTAATAGACAACAATAAGTGCCAAATTTACCTAAAGCTTGAAAGAAAAACTATACCCCTCAAAACAGAAGACAAAAATTAAAAAAAAAACAAGACAAAACTTTAAACCTGAATTGCAGTAATATGCATAATAAAAATCATACCAGAACTCAGACTACGAACCAAATCAGCATCAGTGAAATCCCAAAACAATGTTTGAATTATAAATGACTTCACAAGTATAAAAGAAAACTTCTGCCAAGTCCTGAAATATTTTGGAAATCTAAAATCTCTGCATTCCACAATTTGTGAATTAAAATGATTAAAAATAAGGACCACATATACACCTAGTATTCCAGACATCCAAGAAGTAACCAATTGCACCGTAAAATCAAACAAAAGAAATTCTAGTTCTATTTAACATGATGACAACCAAGAAACTAGAAGCCAAAAGGAAAAAAAAAAAAAAAAAAGGATGATCGTTATCTAATATTGTACCAGAAATAAATGCCAAGTTCATTTATTATACCTGAGCTGGGGGAAGGCGCTTCTCTGGACTGATATTCGAATGCCATAGAAGCTGTATCCTGCTGGTCAATATTCAAAGAAGATGACTGGCTTGCAGATGGTGATGCTATATCTTGAAAACCAGCAACAGACGAACCTTTACCATTTGGTCCATTCCCCAGTTGACCAAAACCATGACCTTTGCATTCACCTGGATCTTCAAAAGCAGAAGAGCATGGTTCAAAATATGGTGATTTCAAAACAATCTCTGGCTGCCGGCTTAAGACACAAAGTCGTGTGTCACACTGGATAAGCTTTTCAAAATGTTTGTTTAATAATCCTTGCGGGCATTGCAGAAAATGTTCCCTACAAAACCACAACGCCAAAGTTTGTCCATAAATGTCACAGCATCAATTTTAGTACCTGAACATGGCTGATGCATGTTCAAATAGACTGAACATCTTGAAAAAAATGTCCCAAATATCAATTTAACAGTTAAAAGGAGTATCCACACTGCCTGTTACACAACATGCCCCAGTTTGGCAATTGGACAAGTATTGGCACAAAGGGAGTTTATTTGTCAACAGTAGGTGGAAACCCAACTTAAAAACAGGACAAACATACAAAGCAAAACAAGAGTGTCATCAGAACTCAACAATTAACCACCAAAGGAGATCATCGATAATACATTCTTTTTATCTGAGACCACAGGCTAAGAAAACATATACCTGAAACCACTAGCACCGGCCAATAAAAGATTTGAGGCCACTGACTTAAAGAATATATGAGACTATCCAAAAGATAAACAAAAAATTGCAAGGAGCATGGGAAAACATAGTACGAGTGTACACGCTCCAAAGAAACTAAAAGGTGTGTAAAACTTTATAGGCTTAATAGTGACATTACAGTCTAGTGGTATTCCTCTTCGCTTAGAAGTGAGAGGTCTTAGGTTCGAATCTCGTGGATGATGAATTCGATACCAAATTAGGCTGCCTATTGTGGGGCTTAGCCGAACTCTCCCTCCCCTTAGTGTAAAAATATCAATGTGCTCAAAAAATAAAAAAACGAAAAAAACAGTGACATCAACCAAAATAAATTTAAAGCCTTTTTCCCAAGGAAATTTTAGAGTAAGGATCACAACCACCAATTGAATTTTACCTATAACTGCTAGCTTGTCCACCAGTAAAATCTGCTGTTGCCTGCCACAATGTGTGCTTTCTAGGTTGAGGGTTAGTCTCCCGGAAGAACAGGGGTTGTCTAGCCAACTGTAAACAGAAGCAGCCACTAGGTTAAAAATTTCAGACACAAAATAATAAATTTGAGTACAGAGACCATAGGTAAAGACCAGTGTTTTAAAACACGAGCCTTGAAGAGCGCCTAGGCGGCCTTCGAGGTGGGGCGGTGAGGAAAACACCTCTGCCCAGTGGGAGTAGGCTTAAACTCGCCTAGACGCCTGAGGCATCAATTGGGGCTTTTTTCTTTCTTTTTTTTTTTGTTTAAAGGTTAGGGTTTCTCACCTACAGTGAAGAAATTTTATTTTTTATTTTTTATTTTTCTTTTATAATGTTTGATTTCGACTCTATTGTTGATTGTATGATATATATTAATAATTTTAGGTCCCCTGAGGCCTCAAGGCTTTCACCTAGACAGGGCTATCCATGAAATGCCTTGGCTTCGCCTTCACTTTTTAAAATGTCGGTAAGTACACACACAAACGTACAGAGAACATAGGAAAGGAAATACATAAACATTACCACAACAGTAAAAGTACCAGGTCCATCATCAGGACAATTTGCTTTCAGAGCCATAATATCTGACCACTGGATTTCTATTTTACTCTTGAGACCACCTTTGAGAACTTCCCAAACAAGCTTATGCTTAGCAAAGTAACACTTCGCCACTAAATCTCCCTCATATCTTGATTTATACTGCAACCAAATAAAGTAGTGTCAGAAACTTTTAGCCAAACAAATCCACTCAATAAATCAAAAAATAAACTTAAAAACTAGAGAAGATGAGTACCTCCCAACCCCCAATCCTTAGAAGTGAAGCTGGAAAATTCGAAGCCTTCAGCTTATCCACCGTCCCTAATGGAGCATTTGCTTTACATTCCTTTTTAACTCCAGAGTTAAGATTTTTGCTCTCTGTCGCTCCAGCTGCAGAAGCACTCCCTTGAGCAAGCTTCATTTGAATTAACTCTAATAAGGATGGGCTCTTTCTGAGCCTCAAACCCAAGGGGCTAGGCTCATCAAGTGGATTGTATTGTGACGGTTGAACAGCAAACTCATTATCCCCAACACTCCTCTGTAACTCAGCCAGAAAAACCAGTAAGAGAATACTTCAAAACAAAACCAAATTTATACAAAGTAAAGGAAACAATCAAATCTTTCAGCTAAACATAATCAAAGTTCAAGCAAGCCAAATTTCAAAATATTATATTACAGCCCAATACCTAAGGAAGCTCAAATTTGTATATTTACATCCCAATTAATAGTCACGAGTTTAATAAATCAATAATTGATAAGAAAATGGTAAACTTTATGGACTATAAAGATCACACGTATAATCCTCCCATGCAGTTTCCAAGAGACCAAAGAGATTGCTACAATCTTCTGAAACAATTTCAATCATTAATGTCACAAAATTTATAGACTAAGCTATTGACAATAGCATACAACAAGCAGAAACATTCATTTCTGGGAACCACAATTTCTGATTGAATAATACATACAAAATCAAAAGAGAAATAGAGAAAACTTCAATCAGTCCAGATTACAAAAAGAAAAAGCAGAAGGAAATTAAAAAAATTTAAAAAAAAAAAAAAAAAAAAAAAAAAAGATTAGCAATGAAAATACGTAAATGAAACAGAAACAAGATACAAAACTGAACCTCTTGAAAAGCAGGAGAGGGTTTAGGACGTTTGTTGAGCGGACCATGCTCCTCTTCTAAAGAGTCCTCAATCTCCAACTTCACCGGTACCTTTTCTGTACATGGCATCGTATGGAGTTCTGGTGGGAGATCTCCCGATTTCATCAACTGCACCATCAATTCTTTTCCCCAAAACAAAAAATAAAAAATCTGAAGAATCCAAATTCCCAAGAAACAAATTAAGGTCTTTGATCTAAAGACCTGGAAATGGGAAGATTGATTGATTCTCAAAATCCTGTGCTATGCAAGAAAGGGGTATTTTTTTAGGCTGAAAATAATCATTGGGCCAAATTGCACGTTTACAGTTTTCTCATTTTTCTGATATTGCTACACTACATGTCTTTACGATTTTCATTTCGGATAATTGTTCTTGGACAAAGCTACCAAACACATTGTCAGATCTTAAAAATACAAATTTCAATTTGTCGATTTCACTTTCCAAAACATATTTCAGAAATCTGTTGTGTAAATCATTACAAAATGGTAATAAGTTTTCCACTCTTTAACATGTAGATCATGTTATGGTGATACGCAGGGAAATGGCAACTTTATTTGTGCCTCCAAATGGAATTAGGCAAAGGGGCAAGCATTATTACTGAATGTGGCAAACATTGTTTGAGGTTTAAACCAAGTACAATCTGGTCAAACTGATAAGGAGAGGAGCATATGGTGCAGTGACCTCGTCCACATCAATAGGAAAACAAATGAGTAAGTTGCAATCAAGAAGATCAATATTGTGTTTGACAACTGCATAGATGCATTGATGACTCCGCGGGAGCTGATGCTTCTTAACATATCAGGCATGAGAATGCGATTGCTTTGAAAGATGTTATGATGGTTATCCACAGGACAAGGTTCAAGGATGTGTACTATGTTTATGAGCTCATGGATACGGATTTTCTTCAAATTATAAATTTCAAAGGGTATACAATATACCTTGAATTTCTATTGAATGTTTTCATGACCTTTTCCAGTGCAAATATATTATTTAATATGAGTAAAGTAATTTTTTTTTATTCTTGAATTTTGTTAGTTCAACGTCAAAAATTCAATGCACATTCACAGCAAGAAACCAATATATTCACAGAAAGCAAAGGGTTGAGATTTTTTTACCGGCCGGTCCAGCAACAGAAACCAACGCAACAGCCCCAATTCAAAGGCCAACCCTTCTCCAACAGAAAACCCTACGTTTCACAAATTTATAGAATTAGAACCACACTATGGAAATTGAAGCCAAAATTTTAAGCTGAAACCCGAAAATGAAATTGAAATTGAACCAACCCCATTCAATTGAAGCCCATCTAAAAACCCCACACTGATATTGAAATTAAACAAAACCCCTCCCTGATTTCGAAATCTGAAAATCGACCTCATACCTTAAATTTGAGTGTCGAACTTGAAGAGAAGAGGGAGAATGATATCGTCTGAAACTACAAAGAATTGAAGCGTCTGGTTCGATGTTCGGGTTTGGGTTTGGGATAATTGGGAATTTGGGAGTACTCTTTCAAGAAAGGTGGTCGCCGGTGGTTTAATGTTTATGGTGTTTTTTCGGGAAAATCCTGTATAGTGTGGTGCACCATAATTACATGGGCTCCACACCCACCGATGAAAAGTCTCTGTATTTTGAAAAAATAAATACATGTAATTTTCATATCAAATTATCAAATTATTAATAATGTGTCCATACCTCACAAAAGAAATTTATTTCTATACTAAAACCCAAAACCCAAACCAACGTGTACTATTCACGGACAGTGAAGTGACGAAATGCCCTTGGTTTGGTCTCTTCTTCGTGGACCACAACCTCTCTTTCTTCTGAACTCTTCTTTCCATTTCCGTCTGTCTCGCAAACCTTTTTGTTTCTCTCAAACCTCTCCTTGCCTCGCTCTCCGGTCTCAAGTTCTCTCTGTGTCTGGGCTTTTTTGCAGAAAACGGTTAAGTTAGTAAAATTTATTTAGATCGTTTTGTCGGGGTTGCAGACGACAGTGTTCTCTTGCTGAAAAATAGTCAATTTGGTCTCGATTTGCAAAAAATTTGGAGCCCATAAAGGATCGCGTTTCCTGTTGTCGATTTAGTGCATTCCCTGCGCCACAGTGGTTAGTAATTGAACAATTTGATCATTATCCATGAACGAACCTGTTTTTGGTTGGGCAAATTGTGGTTGGTTTTGAGTTGGTGCATATGGCTTTGGAAACATCCCAAGGGATGGTGGACGAAATCCTCCTTGTTGTTGAGGTTGTTGGGGCTCCCTCCACTTGAAATTTGGGTGATCTCTCCATCCCGGATTGTAAGTGTTGGCGTATGGATCATGCCTAGGTTGATTTTGGCGTTGATAACCTATGGCATTGGCAGATTCCCATCCTCCATTCTCAATCAATTGAGGGCATTGCTCAGAGGGGTGCCCTTGCATGGTGCACACGCCATAAACACTATGTTTTTGCACTTTGTTTCCTTCAACAACCTAAGACACAAGGAGAGTAAGATTAGCCAATTGTGATTGAATTTCGGACATGGAACTTACCTCATTCATTTGGTGCTACTGTGGGGGGTCCCTTTGTCCAACCCCTTCATATTGTTGTGCATTCAAGGCTCGATTTGTAATTAAAATCTTTGCAGCAATTGAGGTTTTGTCCACCAAAGCTCCACCTGTCAAGGCATCTAGCATTTGTCTTTCAATTGGAAGTAGTCCTTCGTAAAAGCATTGAATTAGAAGCTCTTCCTTCATTTGGTATTGTGGGTAGGATGCAACAAGGGCTTTGAAACACTCATAATATGCTGGAAAGGATTCTCCTTGGTTTTGTTGAATTCCGCTAATCTTCTTCCTCAAAAGAATTACTCTTGAAGTTGGGAAGAATTTCTCCAAGAACGCTCGTTTCATACTTTCCCAAGAAGTAACGGTTCCGGGCACCAATTTGTAGAGCCAATCATTAGCCTTTTCCAAACGAGAGAACGGAAAGGCTTTCATCTTTAAAATATTTCCATCCACATTAATGGGTGTCATACTCGATGACACACCCCGACCGAGATCAGGGCATGCTGGGCGTCACGTGGAAGTGACGTAGCCATGTGCACAGTGCGGAAGCTAATAGAAGCAATGTAAAAGTACGAATAATTTAAAAACTAGCATACAATAAGTGATAATATAAGTGCCAACGCAAGTGAGACGCTGAATTCAGAGCATAAAGACTACAGCAGTCCAAAGAAAATGATACAACAATGGTACACCCGAAGGTGACCCTACACTGGTGAGTGTCTGTCAGAAATGCCGAGACGCCCTCTGGGAAAACCACCAAACCCGCTAAGCTACTAGAACCTGGAGGGGCGCAAAACAAAAGCGTGAGTGGGCAAAAACAAAGCTCTTTGGAAACCATTTCATAAAATACATTCTAACCCCTCGCCGTAAAACCTGTATACTTCCCAGAAAATAAACATATATACGTATGTATAAATATGCCAATCATGCTCAAGGGTATGCCAATCATAAAGCCTCATAATGATATGCAAGTGCTCAGGTATAAATCACATCAATAACATATCACTGGCAGCCGGAGTCACCCGAAGTGACCTGTACGGCTGAATCTAGAGCTCAAATCTCAATCTCAATAACTAAACCTGCCCACGAGTCGGAACCACCTATAGTGGTCTGTACGACAGGGCTGGGTGTAATACATATAAACGCTCTAGTGCTACGATCACGTGAAGGCTGTGCGAATAATCGCAGGTCACCTACGAGTCGGAACCACCTAAAGTGGTCTGTACGACAAGACTGTGCACCTAACTTGGATCCAAGCTGAGCGTGTGGTGCGGGAGGTGAACGACACGTGAAGGACTGTGCCCTACTCTGGGCGGGAGCACTAACACCGGGGGTGCAGGTTATGAGCTTTCTAAGCACCTCTAATCACTATTTAATGCAAAGGTTAAATAACGCTTACCTGGCACTTACCTGCGCCTCCACAGCACCAAATATAAATATGTATAAGTATGCCACTACTAATGCATGTGATAATGCATAACAATAAGGATATGGTGCATGGCATAAAACAAATAACCCTTTTTAAACAATTTCTGGGAATATAAATGTATATAGGTATATACGGAAAACCAAAAGCCCACTCACTGGTATGTGGAAGGGTCGTAGCCCCCCTGCCTCGAGTGTGCACGCTCGTCCTCGGGATAGGAATCACCTATATGCGAATTAACTATAAAAACGTTAATTTTAAAGCACATAACCTTCCTTTCGTAATAACTTCTCATACATTGCTCAAAATGGACAAATGAATATACCAACGTGCTCTACACAACCTTAGGATCACAACCATATTTTTAGAAAAAATTTCCTCCGCCGCACGCGCCCCCACGCGCCGGCCAAGGCACGGCCACACGCGCCGGCCACACGCAGGCACGTGCGGCGCACACGGACGGCGTCAACTAACGCCGTGAGGAATATTCCGTTAGTTCTAACGGATTCCGTCAACGGCGTTAGGAATATTCCGTCAAATCTGACGGAATATTCCGTCACCTTCCCCGATCAGTCTCCGGTGCCGTCGCCGGCGCCGGAAAACTGGAAAACCTGCAACTTGAGTTTTCTCGTTCGTTTCTCAACCAATTTTCATGATTCATGAACCAAAATGAAGCTTAGGACTAGTAGAATCACGATATACTACTTTTAAAGGCTAAAAACCACGCGATCATACCTGTCTTCAACTCAAAAACCGACCAACTTCGAACCAAGCTTTCCCGACGTCCAAATTTGTCCAACGAAGCACTCCGAGGCTCCTTGGGACCTCACAAAGACATCTACGAGCTTAAAAATTCCAAAAACATGCTAGAATGAGTTTGCATGAATAGTGCTCAAATCGGAAAACCTCGAATCGACGTGAAAATGGTGGTTTCCCTACCTGAAAATGGTACATCTGTGTTCCCCTCGACCTCACGATCACGACTGCACCCTTGGTTTCCTCGATCTGCAACGGTTTGAGGGAGTTGTGTGTTTGTCCGTACTTTTACAGAAGGAAGAAGAAGAAGAAAGAAGGGAGAGAGACACGGGATCGAGACAGAGAAAGGGATAGGGACACAGGGAAAGTGGCAGTGCATGTGTGTGTGGCCCAACACATGCCACACCACACAAAACCACCAAACAACTAAACGAAACGAACTAGGGGTAAAATTGTAATTTCACACGTACGTTAATATGAATTTTGGGACGGGATGTCACACTCGACCATACTACTTCAAACTTGACTTTAATTCAAGTTTGGGAATATTCCCATCCACATTAATGGACAACCCATGGTATTTGGGAATATGATGCAGCAAGCTTGACCTTAATTCAAACTCATCGGTCTTGTCCGGAGCTGCCCTAGGGTATTGAATGCAAATAGGCACGGCGTTGTCCAACCCCAAGGCAAAAAGTTCTTTGATTGTTCGATTGTCCGCTGCCATGGCTTGTTCTTCCTCTTCCACTTCTTCTTCTTCAAATTCGGCCTCAGAACTATGTGGACTAGGTTCTGGATTCTTCCTCTTCCTTCTCAAAGTTCGTTCAAAATCGTCGTCAAACTCAAAGATATGTGCATGAACTGGTTGAGAACTTCGAGTCATAAACTAGTACCTAAAACCAAGAAAACAACACAAAAACAAATCAAAAAACAAAACAAAACAGAAACAAACACAAAAGAAAAACACACGGCACTACTAGGGGAAGATTAGCAATTTTGCTAATCCCCGGCAACAGCGCCAAAATTTGATGTGAAAATTAACTCGACACACAAATTAAACCCTATTGATGACAATTGTAGTATATATGCAAGTAGGGATCGTTCTAGACCGGGGATTAACTAGGGATGCTAATCAACACAAATAAGACTTAAAAACACTAATTTAGACTCTATAGACTTAAAACTAACTCAAAACACTCAAAATAGCAACAAACAATAAAAAAGACTCAATTCTAGACCTAACAAGTGATTTTGACGAAAATAAAACTTAACTTGACTCAAAAGAAGCTAAACTGACTCTAAACAACTCAATACTATCAAATAGACACAAAACTGACTATATGGGGATACTTAGACGAAATTTAACTAACTTAGACTCAAAATAAACAATGGAGACAGATTTAAACTAGTTCTAACCAAAGGAATAAACTCAATGCCAAGGGAGGTTTATTTGGACGAATTTAAACCTAAACTTAACAGATTGCAAAACAACTTAAAAGACTTCAAATTAAGGTGAATTAAATGGGTGAAAGGCTAGTTAAAGGGTCCTTCTCCACACATGACATATGCATATAAACCAATTTCCAATTATTATTCCTTTAGACTATGAATGACAATGCCCCAAATTAACCATGAAAAGCATAAATTAACTTTCAGATTTTCCTTATTTCATTGAATTGGATGGAATACGCATCGCAACCAGATTATCTATCTCAAGTTCTCTATATGAAACGCATAATAAAGATACATATCAAAAGTCATTAAGTTCTATAAAAATCATAAGCATTGACAAGGCATTCATCACTATGTAACACATGAGACTCATACCAAGGATTTACTTAACACGATTGTGACTAGCAACCTCCACTACTTGTGAATATAAGTAAATAATGATTAGATAAAATTCCCTTATACTCTAGCATCAAATTCATGCATGCAAATTAAGTGTCGACCCTCAACCAACATACATAAACAAGTTTTAATTAGGGCTGGGCACAGGCCGGGCCGGGCCCAAATTTGGAAGAACCGGACCTACCCGTTTTAAAATGTAACGGGCCGAGCCGGGCCGGGTGTAGGGATTTTAAGTTTGGGAACCGGACCTAACCCGGCCCGTATCAAACGGGCCGGTTCGGGACGGGTCCACGGGTCCAATAACTTTTTTTTTTTTTTTTTTTTTTTTTTTTAAATCTGGTTATGGGCATACTAAGATTGAAGCAGAATGAGGTGTGGTTCCAGTGCTGACGAAAAGGAAGAAGCTTGTAGAACCAAATAGCAGAATGAGGTTATGTGCTAAAGTAGAATTGCTTATACGGTTCACAAAAACTGAAATAGAACGAGCAAATATTCGACAGACCCTGATGAGTACTGCATTGTTGCGCCGGATACTGATGAGTACTGCATTCATTGGCAATTGCCTTGGCGAGAAGGGTTTTCCCACAGCCAGGTGGTCCATAAAAGAGAACGCCTTTAGAAGGTGACATCCCAAATTTCTCAAACATCTCAACCATATAAACTTTTTGTGTTCAGTAAAAGTCCACTTGTATAACAAACTGTTGTCCGGAGATGCTCTTTCCATACTCATTGAGTAATGCCTCTGTTGCAAAAAGTACTCCTCTTCCCGTTGCTGCATCTTTTCCTAGTGATCCACCAAGATCCTGATTAACAAAAAAAAAAAATTACAGAATGTTACGCAATAAAAACAAACAAAATTTGTAGCACAGGTATGAACTATTGCAAGACAAGACTGCCATGAATCGAATAAAGGAGGACAATTTAACTGAAGTAACTTTTTTTATTATGATTTACTTACAATAGGCTTTCTAGTCACTACTGCAGGTGAGTAGCCATGAAACTTTGAGTACTCATCTAGTATCCATGCCATGGTCTGTTTAAACCAAAAAAAAAAAAAGGAAAAAGATTGAGAGAAAAAAATGCTAAAATTCAGTCCAAAGTTTAGAAGACAGCTAGTGATCAAATCTCATGTAAAGAATTAATGAAAAATGTGCCATGCTCAACCTGTGGACCTGTCCCCATATCTGGTGCGGGAACATCGGTGTGGATTCCGATAAGATCGTGTATCTTTTGTGTGAATACTCTGGTAAGAAGTTCTCTTATGACGTTCGCCAACCGCCAATGGCATCCCACGAAACATTAGGTACGTCCACAACCTGTAAACCAAGAAAACAAGTTATCATTCTCAAGTCCAAAGATATTCTAACTCTCTGAATAGCAACTTCTAAAAAAACAAGTAAAGCTTGCTACCCCAAAACTTCAAAAAAAAAAAAAAAAAAAGTTAAAACTTACAATTTCGCGCAAGGCAGAAGGATTTGTAGAGGACAGTGCGGTCTGGAAGTGTTCATTCGTCACAGCCATCGAATTCAACACCTCAGCATCAATCGTATCGTCTTCCAAGTCAATAACGTCCATTTTTTCACGGATGCACTGGAGCGCAGCCTCTGTGGAGAGAGCGGCAAGATCTGCACCAACAAAACCATGGGTATCTTTTGCAACTCGTTCGAGATCAACCTGTAATAGTAGCAAAACACCAAGTAATTAACATAATTTATCGCAATGCAGGATAAACGATATGAAAATTTGAGGATAGAAGATCTTACATCATCTGAGAGAATGAGTAGCAGGGTGCGTGTGCTTGTCTGTGTGTGTGGCTTGCTTGTGGCTGGCCGGAGTCGTGTCGGAGAAGGTGGACGGAGGAGCGGCGCCGGGAATTTGAGAAAGGGTTGGAGTGTTGGAGAGATTGAGATTTGAGACTGAACACTGAAGTCTGAAACTGATTTGGAAACCTAGGTTACAAATTAACGGTTCAGATTGAATGATAGGTTATCATTCAATCTCAACCGTTGATTATAATATGAAACGGGCCGGTCCGGGGCCCCGTTTTTCTAAGGTGTAGGAACCGGCCCGCCCCGTAAATAACCATGCCCCGGCCCGCCCCGCCCCGTTTGTTCCCAAAAAAAAAGGGACCCGGCCCGTACCCGTCCCGAACCTACACTACCCGCCCCTACCCGCGGTTCCTTTACCCGTTTGCCCACCCCTAGTTTTAATAACTCAGATAAGCAAATCACATTCAACACTCAAGAAACAATAACTGGATGTAATCAATTCATATAAAACATATAATCATGGCTTCGAATTTACCTCCAACTATAAATAAATTAGTTCCACATGTTCATCATAATTGAAAACCAAGTTAAAATAAACATTGAACTAAAACTAAGGATAGAAAGCACCCAGAAACACTCCACACTCCAATGGCATTCACAACACTTCCTTGGATGGCAGATTGCACAAGTCCTCTTCTCCTTCCTTCCTTGCTTGCGCACTAGGGTGATGTGGTGTGAATTATGGCTGAATGTATGCATGAAGAATGAATGAGTGAATGGATGATTAAAACCTGCGGCAAAGGCTTGTGTTTATAGGCTAGGTCTTGCACAATTTTTAAAGGAAAAGGATTGCACAATCCAATGGGAAAAGGACTAGGGTTTGGCAGAAACCAAGAGGGAAAAGGTTAAGAACCTGCGACATTCAATTAGGATTAGGTATAGGGCTTCTAGAAAGGATGTTTTAGAACATATTTTTGACTCCAAATCACCACACATGCAGCAAGGATGTAGGAGAGGGATTACAACTCCCAATCTACCAAGGAATGACATATATGCAGCACACAAGGGATAAGGTTTCTAGAATCCGAGTTATGTATTTAAATGTATAACTAATCCCTTCTAAATAGCTAGAATTAAGGCACAAACTGATTTGGATAAGAAAAGATAGGATAATGCTAGATTTAGGAAAGGATAAGGTTGGTTAGGATAGGATAAAATAAGGTTAGATAATGTTCCTTATTTCTTGCTCTTTCCTTATCTTCTTTGTATTTGAACTTGTTTCTCCAGATTTGTAGCATGTTTCTAGCTTCTTTTCACTTCAAATTCGTCCATCCACCTTGTTTCATATGCAAGCTATCCAATGTCCAAAACTACTCCAAATGGCTCCAAAATGCAGTTTCTTGCCTTCTTTGCCATTAGGACCTACAAACACACGAAAATAGCTTAAAACACTATAATGTTTCAGTTTTTTGAGATCCCTTGTTTTTTCGCTTCTTTTTCTTTTGCACTTTCTATTTGTTATGATCAACTATTCGTATGTCATGAGTATATGTTGGGACTCTTGCTGCAAAAAGATATGAAAAAATGTTTTAGGATCATTAATAATTTATTTATTAGATGCTTTGGTAAATTTTTTACTGAATTAAAGTTGGTTACTCCTCTGCGCAACAGTGAGGCTCTAAAAACTTTGTTGCTTCACATGAATATGTATCTATATTTCATTGTAATAAACAATGCTTTCTTGCAAACATTGCTCGATTAATACCTTTTAACTAATTATTTTTCTTCTTTTTTTTTGGGTCCTTACTGCTTTGGCATTCACCCATTTTGTAACAAATTATGCATTTTATGCCTGTGTTGTCATAATCTGTTTCCCAATTTACTGAAGTAGACTTTACCTTGCATTTGCTTATTTATCTAGATTACTCACAGAAGATAACATTGTGATATAAGTTATGTTTAACAAATTATTAATTATTTCAATATTTATTTTAAGATTGCTATAATAATGATCCATGAATTTGTAGAATTTATATTCAGTTTGAACAAAGTAGATGGAAGGTGTTGAGCCAACTCGCATCCAAGAATTGCGCTCATATACAAAAGCAGACATAATACACTCCGCCTATGCAGAATATGGAAATCAACAATACCCGAAACTATTCAGAAATACACATCTTTGCATTGTGTGTTGCTTGATGGGACGGTGAGAAACTATTGTTTTATTATTTTAATTAAAGATTATAAGAATGGTAGTTAACTGCCTGATTAGAATTCATCTTTCCCATGCTTTTTTACACGTTGGATAATCAAACTTCGATATATTCAATTGAATAAAATATATACATTGATATTCTATTACTAATTTTATGTCATTATTTCATTTGTTAAAGTCAAGGAGCCGTCTTTTTCTCAGCAAAATACTATAATGTATTCAATTTGATCCCAAACATAGAAATCAAATATTTTAAATCAAACTTTACGTTGTGTTTAATTTTTTTTTTCTATTATCTTACTTTCTTAATATATTCGGACTTTTATATTTTTATATTAAATTTTTTTGCATGTGTGATATCTTTTTTAAATGTTGCTTCAAATGCTTTAACTGTATTAATTCATTGTATTGCCCCTGCTAACTATCGAATTTATACATATCAATACATAATATTTATTCTCATCCATTTGTTAATTACCTTATTAATTTTTTTTTTCTTTTTTTCTTTTTGGTTCTCTTTTATGACATAATCAACTGTAAAGAAACAAGCAGTTGAACCCTGTACATCAGACATTGATTACGAAATATCTTTATATACTAAAACTCAGTGAGGTGGTACTGTGGATGACCAGTGGGCTGACGATTTTGCCCCTCGATTTTTCCTCTGTTTTGCCTGCTGTTGCCTTCTTTGTACAGTCGACTAACTCTTCTGCTTACAAAAATGACCCTGCTTTTCGATATCAAACCGATATGAAATAGTCCACATATTCTATATTCTATATTTTATTTATTTATATACTAAAAGCCGGTGGATTGGCACTGTTCATTAACAGTGCCGTTCCGGTTTCGTCCCTCATTTTCTTCATGGTTTTTCGGCTTTAGTGGGATTGTGCAGTAAATTGTCCATTTTGCCCTTCATGATACGTGCTGCACGTGCGTAGATATTGGCTTATCTAGGGAAGATGCTGGAAGCATCTCTCATTTCTCTCTTTGCTGTTCTTTTTTTCTCTCTGCTTTTCCGTCTCTCTGTGTCTCTCATTTCTCTCTTTGCTGTTCTTTTTTTCTCTCTACTTTTCTGTCTCTCTGTGTTTGTCTGTGTTTCTGTGTGTGTCTCGCTGTTTTCCTCGCGATCCGATCGTTTAGAAGGGTGGTTGGATTGTTTTTTTCCCGCTGTTTTCCGCGGAGGAATCGCAATGGTTTAGCTGCTTTTGTTGGTAAGAAAAATTTTCAATTGGTTGTTGTAAAATTCGATTCTTGCTAAGTGTTCTCTTTATTTTTATTTTTTTGCTGATTTGCATGTGGATCTTTTGTCTGATTTGGTTTTTGGCTGCCGCAAACCTATATCTTCCAATTTTAGGGTTTTGTTGTGGGAGTTTGCAAACGCTTGCTGGATCAGGTATATAACTTATCTTTAAGCGTTTTTTTTTTAATAATTTTTGTGTTTTAACTACAATTGAAAGATTGCCGACGAATGGATATGGCTACGGTTATATAATTTATCTTTAACCTTTTTTTCATATTTTTTGTGTTTTAATTAAAATTTAAAAATTGTTGAGGAAGGATATGGCTGCGGTTTAAGGTTTAGACTAATTAATTTTATTGTTGTTTAGGTTTTTTTTGGGGAAATTTTTGGGTTTGGTTGTTCTGATTATCTGTGGTTTGATTTTTGTCCGGAATTTAGAAGAAGAAAAATGGCCGTGATTAACTTTTGGGTTTTCTTTGTCTGTTCTGCATTTTAAAGTTTGAATTATGGATTTTTTTTGTATGTCAATCCTTAAATGATCACTGTATGGATTTTTTTTGTGTTTCGGCATATGCCCTTATTGGAATTTTGTGATTTGAGAATTGTAGAAGTTAGTAGCAATTCAAAACCCCTTAAATGAGATGAGAATTAGAGTGATTTGAAATCGGCGAGCAAGTTCTATATTCTATTCTATATATACTAAAAGTCGGTGGATTGGCACTGTTCATTAACACAGTGATTCATCGGGTTTGCCCATTCTATCCACCTGTCCATCATTTGTGGGTCTTTGTAAGTTTTTATATTTTTTTGGTGCCACAAACCATGTGCCGGGTTTAACTCCTGACAATTTTACTGTGTATTAACAGTAATATGTTAGATAATAAATGAGATAATAAATGAGAAGACCCATTCTTGAAAAGACAGAGGACAGGATACCATAAAAGATAGATGTCACAGTTACGTAAAATGATAAAGATATCGGTTAGAGAGAAAAAAAATTAATTAAAAAATATGAAAAGGTGTGTTTGGCTTTTGTTTTCTAATATTTTTTTTAGCATACCAAGAAAATTGATGGACAACCATTCCCTTCCATTTAAGAAAAAAACAGAAATCAGGGATGCCATTGCAGTTGTGTGGTGGTAGTAACGAAGGCTCATTTCTCGAAAAAGGGCTAATAAATGCAAAGTCGTAGAAATATATATATATATATATATATATATATATGTAAGAAAAGATAGTCTAAAAGTGTGAGGCTAATAAATGCAAAGTTGCAGAAATATATATATATATATATAAGAAAAGATAGTCTAATCTGAAAATGTGAGGTCATGATGTGAAGTGAAAGGAAAAAAAAAAAAAAATATATATATATATATATATACACTGCGCACGCAGACACGTGTTCATCATCTCTTTCATTTGGCTTTTCAGCTCTTCTTTTCTAATTTTTTTTTTCTTTCCCGCACGTTTGCTCTCTCATTTATCCTTGCTGCCAGAGCATATCTCATTCCTCCGGTCTTTTTTTTTTTTTTTTTTTTTTTGTTTTTTTTTTTTTGGGGGTTTTGTTCTGCTTTTTCAGTAGATGCTGTCCACGTGTTGATCATCAGCAGTATTTCTGTTCAGAGGATTTTTACTCTTTTTGTTTCGTTTTCACTCCTTTCTTTGTTTACTTTTTCCTTTCGTTTTTCTGCTTCTCTCTCGCCTCTTTTTGTTTCGTTTTCAGTTTTCTGTCTTCATCTTCTTATCCTTGCTCCAACGCTTCGCACACCGCCTTCTTGGCGTTTCAAGTCTTGCTGTTTTCTGGTTAGTTGTGTCTTTTTTGTTGCCTTATTTTTTTGTTAATTTTGTATTTAGAGTTACGTCTTTTGTTTAAATTTGGGTTTAGTTGATTTTGAAGGTTTCCAATTGGTTGCCCTTTTTTGTTTTTAATTTTGTTTTTAGAGTTAGGTCTTTTGTTTGAATTTGGGTTTACCGATTTTGAAGGTTTAGAGCTAACTATTTCCTTTCGATTTTTTATGGGGGTGAGACTTATAGAATAGTAGGGTTTTTCTTTTTGTGTTGGGATTCTAAGTATGACTCTGTCGTTTTCTGTGTTGACATTCTAAGTATTGACTGTGTCGTTTGATTCTCATTTTATTTTTAGCAAACACAAAATGGCAAGCTCTTGAAGCCAATGAAACCTTTATTCACCCTTCGTGCAGATACCTTTGACTTAGAAGCATGCAGCTTCCCTCTCAAAATCTTTATACATATTATGCACAATCACGTTATATGTACTGATACATACGAGTAAATCAGGTTGCACCAACAATTAGGTACATAGTATTACATGACAAGATTATTAAAATTAATTCCCACCAACCATATGTATGCAAAAGGAATTCTTTGAATTTATAAGGTTATCATTTGCAAACTGATGCACTCAACCAGTGTCAAACTGTCTTTCCTATGTGCTGGGAAGATTGTCTGGACATAAATGACTAGATTAAAACCAATTCTTGACTGATTGGTCTTAGGAATATGTTCAGGTCTAGGTTTTAGATCTTTTTTTTTTTAATTGAATTCTAACTTTATAGGTTCTCTATTCTAATTGTTATTACTTTTGGTTATTAATTAAGCTGTTAAATTTTTCCTCCCAAACATGGATGGACAAATAACAAATGATTTCAGTTTTCTTTTCAGTGTTTTTTTATGCTTTTGGATAAATTTGTGGCATATTATGTAAATTTCATTGTTGCAGGATAAATGGAAAACACACAGCCAACTCCTATTCATCAGTTAAAACCATACACGAAAGCAAACAAAATCAAAATCCGGATATGCAGGATATGGAAATCGACAATCCCAGGCACTGTTCAAAAATATACAGCTTTGAACTGTATATTAGTTGATGAAATGGTAAGATTATTGATTCATTATTTTAATCAAAGATGGTAATACTAATAATTAACTAGCCAGAAAATATTTTTCTACCCCTATTTTTTAGATGTTGGGGAATAAAATTTAAGTATGCCGTGTTACAAAAAATGAACAGATCAGTGTTTTCTTACCTTTTTTTATGCATTTTTTATTTTCTTACCTTTTTTTCATGGTGTTACATTTTTTTTCTTAAATTTTTTGGCATTCATACATTTCTTTTCAAGTGTTGATTAAAATAATTTAACTATTTTCAATAATTCTTTTTCCTCATGCTAACAATTTGATAAGTGTGCTGTTCTTTGTGTTATTGATAGTATAATCTATATTTTTATTTATTTTTTAATTACTTTTGTAACTTTTTTTCCTTCTCTGTCTTGGCATGATAAATTGTGAAGCAAGATGCCGTTGAGGCGACCACATTAAATGTTGACTATGATGTTATGGTTGCGAAGATTGAAGCTGGTGGATGCTATGAAATCATTGATTTCCGTACCAGTAAAATCAGGGGACAATACAAAGTAGTCCCGCATGAAACTCAAGTTTTGTTTAATACGGTAACAAAATTTAAAAAATTGGCCAGTGTGTTTCCACCCATTCCTCGCCATCGGTTCTTTCTACAAGATTACAACACACGCTTGGACAGGGTTGACATCCTTACAGGTACTGTTAACATGTCTATGCATATAAATCCATTCAAACGAGTTGGTATTTATTTTCTAAAGTAGTATTTAACAATGTGCTTATATTTATGTTTTAAATTATAAGATGTTATCGGTTGTATAAGAGCCGTATAGTCCTTGGAAGAAAAACAGATTAATCAGAGGGTTGCATACAAATGTGATGTGCACATTCAGAATATAAGGTCATTTTTCACCTTTTATTGTTATTAGCTTAAATTGTCTTCAGTCTTTGTTCCTTTGCTGTTGTAAAAATTTAAATTTTTACTTGCGAGTTTTTTGATCCACAGAAAAGAAGAACTCACGGTTACGTTATGGGCAGACATTGGTGAAGCTTTTTCTTCTTTGTCAACAGAGGCATTTTCGCTGCCAGTCGTGGTTGTTTTCACAAGTTTAAAAGTCAGACGCTACCTAGGTATTTCATTTAATTTAAAATTAATCTTTTGCATCCTTATTTTGCTCTCTGTCCATACTAAGTCATTTAAATTCTTTTGGTGTTTAACCATTCTTGGATTTTATTATATTTATTTGTTACAATTAGTCATTCTACGTTGCCACCCTTTCTAACCAGTCAATTTGCAGCTATCTGATTATATTGGTGCTCAATGATTGTTGTTTGTCATACTTCTACTTATTTTCTGGTTTCTCCAGTTTTATATATTTAGTTGATTAAGCTATTGATAGTCTCGACTGACAATTACAAAATAACTAAAACTATATTCTCAATCGAACACTCACTTAGGAATCCACTGCATGTCCCAATTAATTTTGTTACCAGTTTATTAAAATTTTCACAAAAAACATCATCTGTATGCCATGCGTACCCTTTTTTTTTTTTTTTTTTAAATTACTTTTTGTGATACAATGATGCAGCTATTAAAACAAATTTTAAACTGTATCCGTCATGATTTGTGTTTCATCACCTTTTTTCTGCCATGATTTCAATGCGCAGGTAAGATTGTCTTAAACAGTACCGGTTCATCACTTTTTTTCATTGATCCAGACATCCCGGAAGTGAATTCCTACAAGTCAGTGTAAGTATATTTCTAATTTTTGGAACAAAATAACGATATATCTATTATTCTTGAATGAAAACAGATGCTATTTCTATATTGTTCAAACAATGTGATCTTTTCAATCATGCAGGTTTTCCAACTGCAAAGAATTTCCAAAAATATTGCCTCCGTCTTCAGACCAGGCAAATGAAGCTAAACTTCTACAGACTGCAAAAAAAGTTACAATTGATGAATTGGCTTTCTTGGATCCAGATTTGTACAAGGTTTAAAACTTGATTATCCCTTTTAATGTTCCCTTAAAATTTTACAACTGTGATTTCACACATTCAATAAAAAGAATGCATATGATTGTTGTCAGTTTCACACGTATATGACAAAATATATTACAGGATGAGACATTTCTATGTAAAGCAGCTGTGAAGCATTTTGACACACGTTACGATTGGTGGTATAGTGCCTGCCCCATTTGTGTAAAACAAATGCATAAGGACCCAACAAGTGCACAACTAATTTGTCAAAAACACCCAAATCAAATTCCAACACCTTGGTAATATTTAACATGTTGTGCTGCAATTTTGTTACTATGTATACCATGAGTTGAATTTTTTTTACTTTGCTCTTTTCAATTTAGAATCAATTAATTTCTCGCTCCATCAATGGTATGTAATTTTTCAATCTCACTATTGATATTTTTTTAAACACCTAAATTTCTCATGGTTGTTTTTGTTTTGGATATTCCATTGTAATCTTACATTAGGTTTTTAAATGTAGGTATAAGGTCAATCTGATACTCGAAGATGAAACCAATGAGATTGATGCTTTGATAATTGGAAAATGTGGTGAAAAACTTTTTGGCATGAGCTGCAAAGATTTGGTTCTGAATCAGACATTGGTGGACCATCAGCAATTACCAAATGAATTTCTTAGACTAATCAGGCAAAAGAAAATTTTCCATCTGCGGTTTGGAAATAGAAGAAATAATTTCAATCCAAGCAATGTCCTCATTCAGAATGTAACCGACGATACAACCATGCAACCAACAACTCCACTGCCTTTGCCAAGAGAAATCACGGGGTCTTCCACGACTGTTTCGTCTTCTACTTCAAGTGCTGAAACTACTGAACAATCGAATAAAAGGAAGAGGGAATCAATCAAGAGGACTCTTTTCACCAACAATGAGCAAAGGTTTGTTTCGTAACTTCCTTTCAAAACATAATTTTGAAATTATTTTTCATTCATTTTATTTAACACTGGTAGCCCATTTAAAACAGAGAAATGGAAGAAGTTTCAGAGGCGGATCCAAGGGAGTTTGATGAATTTCCAATAAAGTTGCTCAAAAAGAAATCGTCACCAACTAGCGGAAAACTTGGTACCACTCCTGAAAAAACCAACTAGGTTGCTATATTTTAAACATGGCTTCTCTTTTTGCTCTACATTTATTTTGATATATATTTAATAGCCATCTAACTGTATTATTTTCTTTCTTTTCCCTAGCTTGCTTGCTTAAGGATGAACGATGCAGTGCCAAAACTCATCTCCGATACTGAAACGCAGTAACCGTTTTTTGTTAATATGTATCAAACAATATTGATAATATTTGGCTGCCATCTAAATGTCTCTCTGGTCTGGACTTCATAATATTTTTTGCATGTACAATATTTGGCTGCCATGTAAATATCTCTCTGGTCTGGACTTGATAATATTTTTTGTATGTACATGCTGGTTCCACTTGAGAGGTAGATGCAAGTGGTAGAATCCAATCAATCACTTTTATGTATTTTTTTTTTTGTCTATCTGTAAAGAAATAGGTTTTAATCTTTTGTATCTGGATTGTACAAATTTAATATTGTATATATAAACCACTTCCAAAATCTTTGTTCACGGTGATGTAAATATTCTGTGATCTACTTTTTACATGTCTTCAACACAGTGTTGCACAGAATTTCCGCAACTACACTCATTCTGAACTCAATTTGGAGCAACATTCATTAAGCCTTTCTTTTACAGTTAGTTTCATTTGTTTATATTTGAATCAACACCTTTTTAACAAATAATGATTCTTCCAACTGCTCATAAATTGATTCTTTTATTTTTCTTGCAACTTCGACCGTTCATCTATTGAAAATACCATGCGTCAATCAGCGATGTGGACTTTTCTCAACATATGACCATCAAATCTTGGTATGTCTTTCATCATATTTGCTCCTTTACAATTCATAGAACTGTTATGTTTCCTTATATCCAATCCTTGCCGATAAACTAATTCTTTGTTCAAAACTTGAACCATAAATGTAATAGGCTAAAATTGTTGTGACCATTTAACAATTCATAGAACTGTTATGTTTTTTTTTCTGTATTTCACCACTAAGATTCAAATTCATATATTTCGGTGAGAAACAAATTTTTATCTATTTCTTGAGTTAGGCAGAGTTGTAAAAATAACTTTCTACATGCTATATGCTATTTAAAAACCCGCAGCATCGCGCGGGCACCATTGCTAGTTATAGCTTCTAAAATTGAAGCTAGTGGCTGCTACGAAATCACCGACTTTAGCACCATTAGAATAAGAGGACAGTACAGAGTGGTACCACATGTAGCTCAAGTTATATTCATTGATAAAACAAATTTCAAGAAACTATCAAGCGTGTTTCTGCCCATCTCTCGACATTGCTTCTTTATGCAAGATTACAACACACTTTATCCGCACTTGAACAAGGTTGATATTCTTATAGGTAATATTAATATATGTATACATACATTAAAAAAATTAACATTCATTGTGTAAAATGAATTTTGGTAATATACTCATGTTTACCTTTTAAATTGTAAGATGTCACCGGTCATGTAATTACCGTCCAATGTTTGGAGCCAAATCAGATCAATCAGAGGGTAGCATACAAGTGTGACATACGTATTGAAAATATCAGGTTATTCCTTTCTTTTTATCTCTGTCAATGTAAATTGGTTTCGATGTTTATTCTACTAACATTGCAAACAATTTAAATATCTGTTCTCAATTCCTTTTGGAAAGTGTTATTGGCACTTCAAAAATCTCATTCTACACTCCTTACAAGTATATTTTTCTTTCCTAAAATAGAAAGTTTGGAGTGGAGAATGAGATTTTTAGAATGTTAATAATAATTCTTTTTTTTTTTTTTATACGTAGAAAAGAAGAACTCATCATGACATTATGGGCGGATGTTGCAGAATCATCTTGTTCTCTATCTCCGGAAGCATTACCTCTGCCAATTGTTATTGCTTTTACAAGTTTAAAAGTCAAGCTTTATTTAGGTATCTCACTTGATTTATACCAATCTTTCATATCTTTATTTTGTTTTCTTTAAATATTACTGCTTCTAAACTGCCTTCATGTTTTGTCTCATAGAATTTTATCATATATACTTCCTCCAATTTATGATTATGTGTCTGTTTTCTGGTTGATTAATTTATTTGAAAAAAGATCTTAATATATAGCTCATTAGTCACTATTATTAGTTATCTTCCTGCTTTATTTTTCTTTTTTTCTTTTAAAACTGATTGTATTGAAATTAGAAACCTAGTGTAGTGGCCGAATCTTGCACATCATTTTAAAACTTAGATTATATAAGTGAAAGCATTTACTAATGTTTTGTTTATACTATCTTATTATTGTTTCAATCCACAGTAAATGCATACAAATCAGTGTAAGTATATTTACAATCATTAAAAAAAAAAGAAAATTATATTTATAATTATTGGAACAAAAGAAATGCTAAGTTTGTAAAATTGCTCAAACAATATAATCTTTTAATCCTATAGGTTTTCAAGTTGTAAAGACCCTGTCAAGATACTGCCCCTCCTCTAGACAAGTGAATGAAGCTGAAATTCTGCACACGGCCAAAAAGTTGATAATTGATGAGTTGGCTTTTTTAGATCTTGATTTGTACATGGTATAAAATTTAATTACACATTCTTATCTTTTCTTAGAAACATATAATTGCATTTTTACCTCTTTCATCAAAGGTATATACATGATTGGTGTTCCTTATACAAAAACGCTATGAAACATTTTACAGGATGATACATTTCTTTGTAAAGCATCAGTTACTTCAAGTATGTGATCTATATCAGTTGTTTTTCCTTCTCCATATTTATAGTCAATTGTGGCTCACAAAATTCTCACAGAGCTTAATTTTCTAATATAGGTATAAAGTAAATTTGGTTATTGGAGATGACACAAATGAAATCAATGCTTTAATAATTGGTAAATCTGGAGAAAAGCTTTGTGGTGTCGCAAACAAAGATTTGGGGCTCAATCAAAGATTAGTGGACCAACAGCAGTTGCCAAATGAGTTTTTAAGATTGATTGGTCAAAAAATAAAAAATAAAAAAATTTCACTTGTGGTTTAGAAATAGAAGGAAAAGTTTCAGTTTAAATTATTTTTTGATTTATAGTATGTCTGAAGATACAGCCAAGGAACCCGCAACTTCACAACCATTGGCAAGAGAAATTACAGTATCTTCTACCGCTATGTCATCTTGCACTTCAACACCTGAAACAAGAGGAACATCAAATAAACGAAAAAGGGAATCCATTAGGAAAACGCTTTTTACCGCCGGAGAACAAAGGTTTGTTTCACATCTCCTTTTCCAATTACCAATTTTGACCTATCATGGACTTATATGTTCTAATATTCAATATCCACTTAAAATAGTGAACTAGAGGAAATTTCAGAGGTCAGTCCAAAACAGTTTGATGAAGTTCCTCTCAAGTGTTTGAAAAAAAAAAAAAAATCTCCAAGTGGTATAAAAACGGACACTACTCTAAAAAAAGACTAGGTAAATATACTTTAGGCTTATCTTTTGTTTTAACTATAAATTCATTGAAAAGCAAATTTAACGGCTATCTAACTGCTTTTTCTTCTCTTTTATCTGCCTAGGTTGTTTTGTAACGATGAACAGTGTTTGGCCAAGACTTCAACTGCTCCACTCAAAAGTATTTACCGTCATTTCTGAATGCATATCAAACACTCTTTAAAATATTTATGGTATGTAAATATCTCTTTTTGCCTAGAATTTGCCAATATTTTTTGCATGTACATACAACAGCATTTGCTAATTTTTTGTATCTCAATATTGGTCCTCATTAAAAAGCAGATGAAGCTGCTAAACTAGAATAACTTAATATTTTTTGCATGTACATGGACCAGCATTTCCTACTTTCTTTGTACCAAAATGCTGGTTCCAATAAAACAATAGATGGAAGTCCTGCATTTTATCCTTTTTTGTACTTAAGTGCTGCTTCCAATACAACAGTAGGTACAAGTGCTAATCTAGAGTGAATGGATGTAATATTCATCTCTCAGTTGTACAATGAATGGTTATAATATTTATCTCCACGTTCTCCAAACTTTAAACCCACGGCAACGTGTGGGTACTGTTGTCTAGTTATGTTACTACGAGTCTAAATTTTTAAAGAATTAACAACTTTAACGGGGGGATTATTTTGGTGATAAGAGTTTTTCTATTTAATTCTCACTGCCTATTTAAGTTCACCAATTTTCTATCTAGGAGCCTTACTTATAGAGATACAAACATATATCATATTTCATACAACTCTACGACTTTTTAAACATTACAAGGAGGGATTAAAAGTCTCAAATAGCACAAACCATGCCCAAAACAAAAAGGAACGGACTTGAGTACATTACGGCTCATGCCCCTCAATTATAACAGTTAGTAAAAGGCCCACGTTAATCGCTACAGGAAAAAAACCAAGGAACTAACCATCTGCCCTATTCAAAACAAAGAACTGACGTTATTTAATCCATCTTCCCCAAAAAATTATTACGAAAACTCTTTCATGCAAAAAATCTTTCCACAAACCCCGAAGGTGACATTTGCTACAACACGGCAGTACTCTGTTCCAAAAACAAGGCACCTACTACTCAAAAACTTGTTTTTGCATAATCATTTTCAGATTTATAGTTAGTTTTTTTTTGCAACAAACACTTTCAGATTGTGAAAAAAAAAAAAAAAAAAAAAAAGAAGAAGAAGTTTCGCATGCATTATCAATCTCGCGAAAATCAACTTCAGTATTTTGGATGATGAGTTGTGCTTTTTAGTTTATGTGTAAACTGATTCTTTAACTACATATGGGTATGTTTTTGCATCGACTTTTTGTGTGTAAAAGGATTATGCATCTACGGTTTTGTAGGTAAAATAATTATCCATCTACCTTTTGTATGTAAAGTGATTTTGAATATATCTTTTAGCGTTTCCAAGATCATTTTAGTTTCTTTTCAGTTTATGTCAAATTGATTTTGTACCTACTTATTGTGTGTAAGTGATTTTGTACCCATCTTTTAGTGATTATGCACCTACCTATTGTGTGTAAAGTTATTCTGCACCTACCTGTTGTGTGTAAATTGATTAGGCTTCTACCTGTTGTTGTGTGTAAATTGATTACGCTTCTACCTTTTGTGTGTAAATTGATTTTGCTACTACATCTGTGTGTAAATTGATTCTACTACTACCTTTTGTGTGTAAATTAATTATGCACCTAATGGGATTTGTCAATTGTACATAATAACCTTAAAGACACAGATGAAAGTTTGGTGGTAAAAGTGATTATGCATGTACTTTGTGTATAAACAAGGGCATACACGTTACATTATTAATTATAACTTAATGCATGTGTGTGTAAACAAGGGCATACACGTTACAAAAGCAATATGAACAATTGCACACCCCGACCGAGATCAGGGCATGCTGGCCGTCACGTGAAAGTGACGTAACCATGTGCACAGTGCGGAAGCTAATAAATAATAATAAAAGTATGAATAAATAAAAACCAGCTATACACAACGTAAGAACATACATGTGCAAGCGTAAGTGAAGAAAAACAAATTCAGAGCACGGAAGACCTAATGCAGTCCAGGAGAAACGATACTACATAAACACACCCAAAGGTGGTCCTACACTGGTGAAAATCTGTCAGATATGCCGGAAAAATCCTCTGGGGAGCCACCAAAAGTGCTAGCCAACTAGAACCTAGAGGGGCGCAAAACAAAAAGTGTGAGTGGGCAAAAACAAAGCTTTTTAAAAACCGTTTCATAAACAAAGTTCTAACCCCTCGCCGTAAAACCTGTATACTTCCCAGAAAAATAGAATATATACATATATATAAATCATGCTCGGAGATATGCCATGTCAAATGCCTCTAAATAGAATGCAAGTGCTCAAGAAATGTCAAATCAATGCCATGTAATCTGTTAGCTGGAGTCACCTAACGTGACCTGTACGGCTGAATCTAGAGCTCAAATCTCCATCTCACTAACTATACCTGCACACGAGTCGGAACCACCTAAAGTGGTCTGTACGACGGGACTGGGTGTATAATAAGTACGCTCGAGTGCTACGATCACGTGAAGGCTGGGCGAATAATCACGGGTCATCTACGAGTCGGAACCACCTAAAGTGGTATGTACGACAGGACTGTGCACCTAACTTGGATCCAAGATGAGTATGTGGTGCGGGAGATGAACATCATGTGAAGGACTGTGCCCAACTCTGGGCGGGAGCACTAACACCAGGGGTGCAGGTTATGAGCTTTTTATGCATCTCAAATCACTATTGAACATGAATATAACCATAACTTACCTGGCACTTACCTGTGCGTCCGCAGCACCAACATACAAATATATATATATACTAATAATGCATAAACAAACGGCAAACATAATGCATGGCATATAAACGTATAAACATTTCAATTCATTTTCTGGGAAAAACATAAGTATATAGGTATATATAGAAAACCAAAAGCCCACTCACTGGTATGTAGAAGGGTCGTAACCCTTTTGCCTCCAGTGACCACGCTCGTCCTTGGGATAGGTCTCACCTATATGCGAAACAACTATAAAAACGTTAATTTTAAAGCACATAACCAACATCACGAAATAACTTCTCATACAATGCTTAAATGGGGTGTATGAATACACCAACGTGATCTATCAACCTCAGGAACATCCCCATATTTTTAGAAAAAAATTTTGACGCCGCACGCACCCCCACGCGTCGGCCAAGGCATGGCCACACGCGCTGCCCACGCGCAGGCACGTGCCTGGCACACTGACGGCGTCAGTTAACGCCGTCAGAAATATTCCGTTAAATCTAACTGATGCCGTTAACGCCGTTAGGAATATTCCGTCCAAACTGACGAAATATTCCGTCATCTTCTCCGGCCAAACTCCGGCACCGTCGTTGGCGGCGGAAAATCGGGAAAACTTTAAAACCTTGTATCTTCTTCGTTTTTCAACCAAATTTCACAAAATTGGTACCAAAATGAAGCTTACAACAAGAGGAACAAATCCATACCACTTTCAAGCACTAAAACCCACGGAAACTCGCCGGGAAAACACCACCAACTCCGGCCAAGCTTGTAACTCACGATCCCGACATCCAAAACCTTCAAACAAACCACCCCGAGCCTCCTAAGGACCTCACCAAGCTTCCTATAAGCTTGAAATTCCCAAAAACACAAGAATTAACGTGTGCATGAACAGTGACCAAATCGGGGTATCTCAAGTTCGACATGAAAACGAAGGTATTCTTACCTGAAATGGGTATGGTTGAACTCCCAAGGACCTCACGAGCACGAATATGTAATTTGTTTCCTCGATCTGTGAAGGTTTCAATGGTTTTTGGGTGTGTCCGTACATATGAGGATAGAAATTGGAGAGAGAGAGGGAAAGGGACAGGGATACGGGACAGGGAAAGGGGTGAAGGAGTGTGGGAGTGTGTGTGTGGTCCAAAACCAGCCAAACAAAACCCAAAAACAACCACACAACAGAACAAACATGCTAGGGGCAAAATCGTCATTTCACCCCTACGGTACGAAAAGTTCGGGACGGGCTGTCACAAACAATATACAATATAAACAAAACAAATCAAAACTTACCTGAGAGTCTTTGAAATAAGAAACTGCTAACTTAAAATTTCAAAAACCAGAATCAATCTGCTAATCTGAAAACAAATCAACAAAAATATATAAGTCAAAAGAAAAAGCTAAGCGTATTACATGCATAAAAAAATAAAAAATAAAAACACACACACAACAACAACAACAACAAAATTGCATTCAAAACTGCAAAAATAATGCCGATTAACTCCAAACGAAAATCTAATCAAAATATGAAAGATGATCACTCCAGTGAAATATTCAACAATGACGAACAACACCAATGACACCGATTCAATAAAATCTTAGAACATGTAAACACTACGAAACGGTTCTGAAACAAAGGATTGTTTTGGAAATCCCCCTAACAGGAACGAAGAACACAGTGATCAGGATTTGAAAATGCACTTTCAAAACATTCATCAGCAAGCAACACTCAAACAACTCAACTAGATTCAGAAAAAAAAAAAAATTGAAGAACAATGCAGAACGAAGAACTCTGCAACTCTTCTGCAAAATTAAAAATTCAATTAGTTAGGTTAAGCTAAGTCCAAAATAACTAATCTAACATAATAATTAAGTTAGGGTAACCAAATCCGTTAGGGGTAAAATTGACAAATCACCATGTTATTTTGGTTGGGCCATTTCATTTTGGCTTACATAAAAGTGGGAATTATACTAACCATTAAATAAACTTACAATAAGGTTTTTGGTTAAAAGCTAAAGTTTTCAAGTCCTTTTGGTTAGTTTTTCTTTAACAAAATGAAAGGTGGGCCTTTAATCCTCGTTTTTGTCGGTTTGCACATGCTAAATAAAAAACCCTAACAAAAGTCTAAAGTGTGCTAAAGGTGCTAAAAGTCTAAACCATTGCCACCGTCAGTCATTCCCATTTTTGCAATTGCAGATCCAGTTTTGTCCCTCATCTTCTTCTTCAAATTTCTCCAACCGTTGTCGACATATTCATTCGCAATTGCAGATCAATTTTGTTTGAACATTGAGATGGAGATGGTGAGACTCAGGGAGACAAATCGGGTTTCGCGACATATGTTCTTTCTCAGGCTGTTAAACCACCCAGGCAGCCGTCTTACGCCGCCTAATAATCTTGTAGATTTTAGAAACAATTTTGGGTTAATTGTGGCAGAGCACCGCCACCCAATGCCTAGGTAACTGCCTATACGTTTTTTAGAACACTGATTCAAATGCCCATGATGTTAGTTAGTAATGAAAATCTCGAGCCACATGTTAAACAAACCACATCTAATTGTCTTCATTTTCTTTGTCAACGATACCATACCACATGAAAATCTCTGTATAAAACACAAAGCAAAA